ACAAAGTGTGGTGGTGAAATTTTAACAGTGTACAAAATACAATTACATCTATGAACAATTAATTTAATATCACCACCTTACAATAACTTGGTCTCCATCTTGTATTGAATAATAGCTGAGTTCCTGAAGAGGTTTATCCAAAGGAATTTCATCCTTAGAAAGCTAAACAATTAGATAAAAATAGTATATAAAATAAATAATCCATATATTGCATTATAATACACATACAATATATATTTATAATATACTATTATAAAATATTATAATTACATTTTGTTGTATAAATGAGAGGATTGGTATCTTTCCTCCAGTTCTAAAAAGCCGTTGTGCAAGTCCAACAACTTTTTGAACTTCCATATCTTTCAGAAGTTTTCTTTTGATACCTCTAGGCTGATTTGGATGATCTGGACATACAAACTCTACAGTTATGACGTTAGAAATCATTTCTACTTTTGCTCTAGATGAGGGAATATCTGAAATTCCATATCCTAAAAATTTCAAATAATATATAATTATTATTAATTACAACAATATTATTTTAAAAATTTACAGCCAATTTTGTAACGAGTATAATACAAAACAACATACTTGCAACCAATGTCGGGTATCGAGGATGTTCAATTATAAATTTATTTCTCTTTACGGAATCATTTTCAGTTTCAGTCCACTTTGATAAATATAACTTTAAATAATCAAATTCAGCACCTCGTCTTTCACCATGCAAAATTTCAGTACCATTTAATGATCGTAATTTCGAAATTCTTGCTATTACTAATTGACGAACAGTCTCCAAATTTTCATTTTTCAAAATTGGATTTTCTCTAAATTTCAGATCTTCTAATTTATTAAGTTTTTCTAATTCTGATACAGATTGCCACTATAAATTTACAATATTATAAAATTATTTTCTTTAAAAGTTTACCTATATCATATAAATATTTATTTTACCTCTGATATGTTATTATGTGATAAATGTAATTGTTGCAAATTAAAAAAGGCTGAAGTTTTTGCTGTTGGTTCAACAGATGGAAATCTTATTTTCCCTATTTTATTTGAATTTAAATTAAGGTATTCTAAGCTGTAAAATAAAACTTGGATATAAACTTTGCTAATAGATATTATTAAAATATTATAATTAACTGCAAATAATTAAAGCAATTATAACTTGCCATGGAAGTGCACCCAATTTAAGAATTTCATCCCAACTGCATATCAAATTTCCTTCAAGAGTTAATTTACATAGTTTCATTAAATTATCCTCTTCTAATGGCTTCTGTATGATGTTGACAATATTAAAAGAAACAGAAATTTCTTTAAGTGATGGAAAAATATGCATACATCTTTGAATATCAAACCAATTATAGTTCATTCTTGCTATGGTTAATTGTTTAACCATAAAAAATGAATCTCTTTGTATTTCCATATTTTCTTCAGTTGGTAAATAATTCTCACTAAATAAACAATAGAAATAACAAGTAGAAACAGCAATATTTGATTACGAATTTTAATATTTTACCTGACATTAAGGTGAATAAGGCAATGAAGCTGACAACAAATGTCTGCTACAACTTGCCAACTATTTATTAAATTTTTAGATATATCTAATTCTTCTAAACTTGGGCACAACTCTGTTAATTCACCAGGATTACCAGCATTACTAACACATTGTTCTCTCAGCCAAATTAGTTTTAATTGATCAAATTTGCTTTGTTTCCTATTTACTTTGGAAAAGCCAACAACTTCCAGAAAAGGAGCATTGATTTCCTTTTGTAAACTTGCTAATGTGTCTCTGTCTATACCCGCTAGTTCATCATTGATGAGACCATAGCGAATCTTAATAGCTTCAGGACAAGAGATTCCAAATTTTGCTTTACCTGGGCGTATAAATGAACCTGATGTAGGGTGCCTGTTATAAAACATATGAATATTTTATTTATTTAATCATTTGATTACGTGGTGTTATACTTTCATATAGTTTTACCTAGTTTTAAAATATTTTACTCCTTCATATGTACCATTATGTTTCCCACGAGTTGGATCATCCCAATCTATACCAAGCCACAGACCTTTGGTTTCACCTACAGGTCCAACATATTTTAATGTACCTTGATGACCATCACACTCAATTCGACTGTCAATTTCATATTTTTTATCTTCTATCATACTACAAAAGAAAAATTGAAATAATGTTTATAACACAATATGTTTGAATCATATATTCTTTTTATTTCAAAGATATCGTTCGGAAATGTCATTTTAATTTTTTTATAATATAACTTTTATTAACTAATACTAAATGTGTCATCATGTTGCGGTTTGAAACCTAACCTCAATATAATAGGTGATCATTGAAAATTATGAGATAAATAAAACATTAATGATATAAATGAGAAAAAGATGTCATAGGATACTATTGCAAATAATACTTATGATAAATATAAGTGGTTATACAGACATGATTTAATCAAAATTAAAAGTCATATACAATAATATGACATTTCTCTGTTGTATACTGCTAAGATACCTAGGAACTTTGTCGTGCAAGATATTCCACTCAAATAGTAAAACTTATGTGTGAAATCGTGTGCGTGTGTGAGATATAGCTGCAGATGAAACCAATAGTAGTGTTCTACATTTTCCATTCAATCGAACTACACGTACGAACAATAGTAAAGTATTTGTGCGGAAAACTAAATCTATACATAAAATGTGGGTGTATATATAAATTGATTTTTACAAATATTAATCATTGAAAAATAAATATTTTGATTTTATTTATCAAAGGATAAGTAGATATTACATTATACATAAATTATACATATAACACAATGTAATATAAGAATGTACAGGTGCTATAAAATATACATAAATATGAATAATTACAATCTTAATACGTACATATACATATACAAACATGTATACATATATATATATATATATATACACAAATGATTTGGTTTTATCTCTGACTGTTCTGTTTTTGATGAAATTTATACATTTGTAGGTATTCAAAGAAATTATTCCATGCAAAATACTTTACTGGATTGATGCTATATTTGCAATGCTTACTGGATTTAAAATTTCAATCCAATAACCATCTGGATCTTTAATAAAGGCAATTCCTTTTATATGACCATCATTAGGTTTCTTTACAAATTCCACATTTAATTTTTCAAACCTTTCACATGCTTTTTCTACATCAGGTACTGTGATTCCAATATGACCTGTGCATTAATAAAGCATTTTATTAGTATCCTTATATATTTTACGTATTAATAAACTAATATTTTTATTGTATATCAAAATTATATAGTATTTAAAAAATATATATTACCAAATCCTCGAGGCTCAGTATTTCCATTATGATATTTAGGATCAGGATCAGTTTCTGTTCCCCAGTTACTAGAATTAAGTAACTAATGTTAATTCTGCTTAAAAACTTTTAACCAATATTTCACTAGTGTGTGATTATATCAAATATTTTAATTGTATATTGCTTTTAAACATACTGAGTAAGTTCTATAGTAGCTTTGCGACTAAATGTCCATTCAATACTTTCTCTTTTATCAGTAGGCATATCTTTTGGATCTTCATATCCCAAAAAATACAAAGAGAATTTCATTTCAGGAAAATCAAGTTTCTGTAACAACTGCATACCAAGTACTTCGGTATAAAATGGTAACGACTTTCTTGGATCTTTAATACGATACATTGTTTGTTGCATTATATAACCATTTGTTGCTGGATCAGGTTTCTTACAAAGTTCACGTACTTCACAGTTTGTTAATCCTGTAAGTTCACCCATCTAAAAAAAATAACAAATTTATTTAAGCATTATAATGTATTAATTAAAAAATAATAGCATCGCGCAATATTAATAATATTACGTAACTTAAATTATGTTTAGTTTCGTTATCTTACAATTTCATCAAGCTGTAGATAAAATATCTCTAATGTTCAAGGATATATATTTCTTACAATAGAGAGTCCAGAAACTTGATTAATGATATAAGATCGTTAATTATTTACTAATATATTGTTATATATCTACTATATTGCCTATTGCTGTACATACGTTGTTTCTTGATTTTTAGCTTTTAGAAAATAATAAATATGATGACCAACTTGATTACACGCTTGTACACGAAGCGGAAGTGTGCAAAGAATTGCGCGATCTACTCACAATCTCCGTAAAAAGTGGAATATCTTTCATTGAGCATAACGTACATGTAGTTGTGTTGTGCTGTCTGCTTTACTTTGGTTTCCCTTATCTGTCAAACCGAATAAATTCCATTTAAGTACTCGTTGAATTCTATTAACAAAATGGCTCATTGGTTTCATCGTAACGTGTTGAAAGCTACGACAAATCAAAAATTCGAATTAAAAATAGCTAATCCTACCGACGCTACAAGAAAACTATGCAGGTTAGCTGTAATTATAGAAATAGTGAATTAAACGCATTTAATTGCGTGTGTCCTAATAAATGTTTTAAATGTCATTATTTTGTAACAAATTTATTTGAAATAATAAAAATGTAAAATGTAAAATATAAAATAAATTGTTACA